GGTTTAGGGTTTAGGGTTTTCTTAGGATTCCAAGGAAATGTCTGTACCCGAGAGCGACTGATCCAGGCAGGATTTCAAACTGTATGGACCGAGCGGGGAAAGAGCCAACTGCTGCAGGTCTTCACTACTCAAATCCGCGTCTGGAGCATGTCCATCATCGCGTTCTGTGGGCGCATGGCCCCACTAGCCGGGTGCTTGGCATCATCCGGTGCTAGGAATCAAAATGCTAGGCGGGGCTTACGGTTTCGGGAGAGACGATCACAGGGTTGCAACACTGAAGCCGGAAACTTCAGTCCACACCGTAAACCTTAAGCACCTGAATTCCACGACGTTCAAGCTATGAAGAAGCCGAAAGCCTGAGCGCGTGTAGAGTTGTTCAGGAGGTTTCCCTAGCTCGAGCATTGTGTGAGGCCGAATCGTTGCCCCGAACAAAACCCGTTCCGGGTTTCCAGCATACGGCGCCTGCTCCAGGCATTGAGCCCGGAAGGGGCCTGTTGGGTGAGATTTGGGCTCCTGCCGAGGACCCTAAACCCTAAATCGCCGCCGTTCCCAGCTACCAGGAGGTAATTAATTGCGATGCCCGAGTTCTGCAGATGGTCTCCGACCTCTGTGTGCCCAACTGGAGACAGCGAAAGCCTAAACCCTAAACCCGTGGTGCTGGGGCACCGTGGTTTAGGGTTTAGGGTTTNNTAGGGTTTGGGGTTTAGGGTCGCTTTCAGGGGTTCAGGAAGAAGCCTAGGGGCGATCGACCTTAGTGGGGCAGGAACTCCTACGGGCGAAGTGCCGGGGGAGGTAGTCCTCTCGCTGGTTCAGAGAGGTGTCGACTTGGGAGTGGTTGAGTTGAAATCAAAACAAAGTTGTGTTCTAACAACTCACTGCAGTCAGCAGATGCAATGCGAAGCCGCCGCCGGAAACCCGGAAGTTGGGCTGTTCTGGCTTTTTGGGGTTCAGGACGTTTATAGTGTGGTGCCCGGGGCCCTAAGCCCATGTGCCCGGAATTTCAGATTCAATGAAGCGGGCCGGAGGCAGGGAGAAAGGAAGCTCCATCTTAAGAAACAAAACCACTCGAAATGTAAACCCTAAACCCTAAAC